TGGACATCAAAACAACCTCTTTTAGTGAAATTTTTGAGGTGTGCTCTAATTTAATTGTTTAGAGCGTCACATTTATATAAACTTTTTCCTTCCGTTAGACTCCCATTTGTTTTGTTGTCCATCTCAAAGACAGATCTATGATGACGCATACAATACTTTCTCTTCTACTAAAAATTGGAAAAAGTTTATATAATATTGCAACCTTATTATGTCGAATTATATATGTACCTCAAAAATCCATCGGAAAAGGTTGTTTTAATGTTGGAAAAGCCCTCTCTACTTGATCATCGAGATGTATGAATATAAAAAATAAAATAGATTTTGAGTCTCAAAAATAGTGCATATTACAACATATTATCTAGACCGTCCATTTTCAAGATTTTCGTATATTTATAGATCTACTTGATTTTAACCGTATTTGGATTTTAAAATTTTATAATTAGATATGTAAATAGATTTTCATATAATCTTAAAAAAAATTTTACGCCAAATTTATATGTTATGATAAAATTTGGAGGTGCACCTTAATTGGATTGTTTAAGGTCGGAAAGAAACTACACCCCTAAAACAAAAAAAATAGTCCCAATCAGTATGATTTGAAACATACAAATAGTCCCAAGCAATTTCCACCCAGTGATTGGCTCTAGACCGTCATTTAATGGATGATGGCTAGTTTTCGAAAAGTTGGCTCGGGCTGACTACTAGGCCCATGCCCTAGTCGAATACTCGCTTGAGCCCGAATGACTCAGCCTGAGTAGGGGCAAATACGGTAGCAACTAAAAATTATTAAAAAAGAATTATATACAAAAATGAAAATTAAAAAATAGGAAAAATATATTCAAAGTAAAATTTAACAAAACAAAACTAATTTTAGTTAAAAAAGTAGCAAAAAATAGATATTAAAAAATGAGTTTGTGACTGAGGGTATTTTCATTTCTAAAAAAGATGGAAAAATGTAACAATAAGTATTCTTGACCAAAATACTTCCCAATCTTTGTCAAAATTATAGAAAATATAAATAAACATGTCACAAATATATTTTTTATTTTTTGGTATTTTTATAATTTTTTTTATTTTATTTATTTTTAGATCTTCGAGTTGAACCACCAACTCAAGCTCGGCAAGGGGTCGAGCCCAAATAACTCGGACGAGTCGAAATGACTCGACCAACTTTATGAACACTGAAGAACTTGTGATTTTTTTTTTTTTTCTTAAGTGTTATTATTTTTAACTTTTTTTCAGAACTGCAATTTTTTATTTTTGGGATTGTGTACCACAAGATGATTTATTTTTTGAACAACAAGATTACAATTACAGCAGATGAAAGTGTATAGCAATTTTTATTTTTGATTTTGTATTCAAACAAATACGCATCTTTAATCATCCAATTTCAAATATAACAATCACTAATGATTGTGACGTCCTTGATATCACACGTAAATGGTCTCTCTCTCTCTCTATAAACAACTCAAGCCCACAACCAAACAAACGACACCCCATTCCGCCTCTGGACAATCACCCATCCAATCCCCTGTTTCTCTCTCTACAAACCCCATCTAAGACTCCATCTTTCTTTCTCCAGAATGTAAGTCTTCCTCTTAACCAAAAGTCTAGCCAGCCATGGACACAAATTGATCAGCCTCCTCTTTTCCCAAAGGTCCATCACTCGGCCTTATAAAAACGAGAGTAGCTCCTTTAAAACCCATACCATTAGGAAGCTCTATATACGGAGCGTATGAGAGCTTCATGCTCAAACCTTGGACTTGGGTTCTATTAGCACTTGCAGAGGCTAAAATGGGTTTCACTCAATTGCCCTGACTTTATAGAAAGTACCCTTTTGATTATCACAATAGTCTCTCCAAGCCTGGGTGCTCTGAAATTATTTGTCGACGAACAAAATGCCTAGCTGAACCAGCAATTAATGAGCTAATGGTCCAAACCACCCTAAGTTTAAGCAGCTCTCCAGACTAGTCCTAAATTCAGAGCCAATGGTTTGATGACACTGGAAGCCCCTAAATCATGCAGCTCTCCAAGCTGGTCCCAAATTCAACTCTCCATTTGAGGAGAACCCCATCTCCAAACCCTAGCTCGTCATTAAGGAGTTGGATTTTTAGGGTCCTGATGCTTGAGAAGCTCTTCACAACCTCAACTGGAGAATGGTGGGTGACTTCTTAAACCCTAATCTTTTGGGGCGTTACAAGCTTATGAACGGCTTCCAGGGACTTACCAAATTAGCCCATCACCAGTTTGAGGAGATGAGAGAGAATGCCTCAGGTTCTAGGGTTTATTGGATCTTCATCATCAGTGATTACACAGTCTACTTTGATCAAAATATCTTCAAGCATGGGGAAGAGAGAAAAACTCTTTGGAAACAGAGAGGCACAGGAAAAGAAGGGTGGTTTTTTGCTTAACCGTAATATTTTCAATTATTGTGAGATATAGAAGTTAAAAATAAGATAAATAAATAAATAATAATAATAATTATTGTCAATATATATATTTTTTAATAAAATCTAAAAAAATCTCGAACTTTCCAAAATTTCATTTATATCTTTTTTAAAAAATTTTTACTCTTTTTAGATAAAAATACCCTTCATTATAGTTTTTTTACCGCAAAAAACATTAGGGTAATTTAAATACTATAATGTATGTTACGATAATTTAAATATCGTGACTAGTAGAAAAGTCTATACTATAATTTATATGTCATAATTTTTATGATATTTTATAAGATAATTTAAATGTCGTAAAGAACATTAGAGTACATTGTAATATATAAATATATTCTTTACGTCATTCTTATTAGGTTGAAAAGCTTCAAATCGAAGTTAACATGCGGTCTACCTCTCTCCTCCTGCATTAAGCAATGTAATTGGTTTTCTCAATGGTTTATTTAAATGACAAGATTTCCTCTCCACATAAGTCTTTTTCCATGTGAAATCCAAGGGATTTTAATATGGGATCACTCTCTCTCTCTAATAAACATATTGAATTTGCCATTTTTGAGTGGCATTCTGAATATGGTCAATGTTGTGTCGCATAGGTGTGAGGGGGAAGAGAGTGGAGCATTGGTTGGAAGAGAGAGAAGGGAGGAGCAGAGGAGAGAGTGACGATATCATTTTGAGCCAGATGTAAGATAAATATTTTTTGTATGCAATTAGTGAGAGAAAGATGGATGTTCTGATGAGGAATTGAGATAAGAGAAAGGGGGCAAGAAGGAGACAGAAGTTTAGAGAGAGACTGTGATTTGAAGAGATGTGTTTTGTTAGATTTATGGAAGAGGGGGAGAGAGAGAGACTGCGAAGCTACCAGTTTTGAAGATGAAGCAAGTCTTCCTACTGTGATTTTCATGGATCACTCATCTGCTTTTTCTAAGTAGGTGAGCAAATCTACACATTACGGTATTTAAATTATCATAATGTACATTGCGGTATTTAAATTATTGTAATGTTCTTTACAGTAAAAACGCTACCGTGAAGGGTATTTTTATCCAAAAAAGCCGAAAATTGGAAGAAAAAGTATAAGTGAGGTTTTGAAAAGTTGGTTTTTTTCAATTTTATTAAAATATAAGTATATTAACGATAATTATCCAAAAAAAACTAAAATCATAACAATAAAGAAATAAAAACAATAAAAAAAAAATCCAAAATTATAAATAGCCCAAGATCATAAATCATTTGGTTTTCAGTCCCACAGCTCGAATGAGGCATTTCTTTGTGATCAATAAAGTCAAGATGTACACACCAAATCGAGAGCGAAACAGACAATTGAATAATTAATTGGTGAAAAAATTAGCACTCCAAGGGTCCTTGAAAAAATGCTAGCTCGAACCAGAATCAGCCTGCCTGAGATGGGCGGGTGGCTGGTCCTGCTCTGTGACCCCCGATATCATCCTATTCTACCCTTTTTTTTGTCTCTTTTGTTGCACATTTCTCTATTCCAAATCGGCAGATTTGGCCGATCCAAATATATACATACACTGGAGGGACAGGATCTCAACTACCAAAAAATTGAGGCACCAAAATGAAGAATTTGATACTCCTTCAGCTAAATACGTTGTCCTTCTGAGGACTTGGGCTCTCCAGGTGAGTGGTTCTGTGGACTTTTCTACCAAGGAAATCATTCAATATTTCTTTGTTTTAGCTCTAAGATCAGTTAGTAAAAATAAAAACGTTGAAAAATCCATGCCTAAAGTAATGGAAATCAAACAGCCATAAAATATTGGTTTTAGCACTACTAAATTCGACTGATGAATACAAACAATTCGAAAAATATAGTCAGATATATAAGCAAGGTTGCATTAAGAATTGCGTAATCAGAGGCATGTAACAAAGCTGAAAAGGCAACTAAAGTGCGCACACACATGGACAAAGTCTGAATTTTTGTCGTGTCTGACATATGTCTGATATTTTAACCCAAGTAACCTACAACATAATCATAGTTACCTCAAATACTTAAATAAAAGATTGTATACTATAAGATCACCACTCACTTTTAGCACAAGAAGATCAATCACCTATAGCCATCATACGTTAAATCCAACAGCTTGATTGTGTATCATAGTTCTAGAAAATTAATTTTGAGTTTTGCGCCAAATCAATCACAAACCCCTAAGCCTTTCAATCTCACATCTAATAATCAACATCTAATAATCAATAGTGATTGTAACCTCTTTGTGCTAAAAATAAATGAGTCTTTTTGTATACTTTTTCAAGATGCACAATCAGTGACACTAAAAATCTCATTTTCCACTATTCCAAAACTCGCACTTCTTAATAATCTACGAAGCAACAAATCAGGAACATCGAAGAAAAAACACACACACAGCGCTTGTTTTTGGGCAAAGAAAAGTTTCCATATAGCCTTTAATGTTGCAATAACCAAGAGAAGTGTCCAAACAGCCTGTGGACTTCTGGCATTCACTAGAACTTGCCAATAAATTGGGACCCATGAAACTTAATTCACATTTGGTGCGCAATTCCAACCATTATCACCCATGATTAAAAGTCAATATTGTTTGACATTTATTGCTACAAAAGCCCAAGCATGAAATGCAAGAGTTCTCTCATAATCACAAACACCAGTGAATTACAAAGACAGTTTAAAAAACAATCCCAACTGCAGCACTGAATTGACAAAATTCCAACACGGCCATGGGCAGGCTTTTATACACTCAACGTTATCTATATCAGAATAAAAATGCCAAACTTTAGAACAGCTGTAATGCATGGAGAGAGAGAGAGAGAGAGAGCATAGGCCAAGCAACTTAGACAATACACCTTGAATTTGGTACCCTTTGAGGATAAGTTTCGAAAGAGACATCAAGGGAACTTTATGGGATCCGGCTGTAGGGCCTTTTGAATGAGCTCAGTGTGTTCCTGCACATGCACCTGATAGAAACCAGTGGCTGTGGCAGCTGAAGGCGCACGCCCCACGTATTTGATATCCTCGTATGAACCCCTGCCTAATGCCTTCATGGCAGTGAGAAGGCGAGGAGTGATATAAGGATAGGCACCCATGTTCATCGGCTCCTCCTGGCACCACACAATTTCAGCATCTGAAAACACAAACCAGATTAGTCTCTCACCAAGGCCATTACTGTTCCGGATATCAGAAACGTGATTACTTTTATGTGAACTTTTATTGTGGTAGGGACCCAAATCCCCAGTGACTTGGCTTTTTTTTTTTTTTTTTTTGGCACAATAAATCCATTTTATTTTGAGATAAGACAACCACTATATTCTAGAAAAGATGGTGACGATATACTGAGTGTGAATTCAGGCACAAGCGGCATAAAAAAGATATCAATGTTCAAATATTCTGCAAATAAAGGATGCAAAAAAATGGATAATGCAGAAACAACAAAAAATACCACACGAAGATACATAAAAATGTCACATTCCAAGTAGATTGAGGAATCATTCTTGTGGGGGGCGAGAGAGAGAGAGACAATTTTGCCATATTAACCAAATGGTGATTTCAAACAAGATTTTATAGCATGTGTCAATCCATGAATGAATTTCAAGCATAGTGCGGGAGAGATACTTGGGTATCGCTTCAACTCTCTCTGGATAAGGTCATAGGGGAATGGGCAAAGCTGCTCAACCCTGCAGATTGCAAGATCTTTGCCATCAACTTTCTTCCGCTCTTCATCAAGTTCGTAGTAGACCTGCAAGACCGTGATATGACTCATAACCCAAGACCCCATAGCAGTATGTATGGTTTTGGACCTCCAATAACACAATGAAATTTAGTGTTAAGTAAATTTAGATGTGAAAGACTGATACACACCTTTCCTGAACAGAGAATTAGACGCCTAATACCTTCCTCAAGATCAGAATGGTCATTCTGATCCTTAATAAGACGCTTGAATCGGGTTCCTTGCTTGTCAAACCCTGGGTGACCTTGAACATCATCAAATTCTGATAGGTTCGATTTGCAATCCTTGTGACGAAGCAAATTCTTTGGAGACATAACAATCAGGGGTTTACGAAACTCTCTGTTAATCTACACGTATAAGAAACACCAAATGAGATGACATTACAAATAGCAATGATCCGTGAGTGGGGAGCCCTGACTGTGATCAGTAGAAAAAAAGCAATAACAATAAAGAATACCGTGTCATCTAGTAGTTTAATATCATTCAAAAAATTATTACCAGTAATTTATTAGATGAAAATGGGTAGATCACATTTTCAAAATGGGAATAAAGAAGCATTAGTTGCAATAGAATCATATACTGCAAGTTATCAGATCCTATGCTCCTAGAACATTGCAATTGGCAGCTAGATTTCCGACGGTCTCACAATATACGGGGCTGTTAAAATGGAGCTCTATTGGATTTAAAAAAGAAAAAGGCACCACAAAAGATTGAAATTTAACTTTATCAAAGGGAAAAGAAAAAATAAATTAGTTGCTAAGTTTGATTGGTATCCACCTGACGCCGAAGCACATGGAAATAATTAGCTGGGGTTGTGACATTCACAACCTGCCAATTGCACTCTTGGATCTGTTTCCTAAGTGTGGAATCCATCTCGGGTATCACAAAAGGATTGTCATCACTCATCTGAATCAACAATTTCAACAGCAGAATATTAGTCATGCATTTAGTTTAGAACTTTGAAGTGCATGTCAATTTAAGAGGAAAAAAAAGCGAAAGAGACAAAAGCTGGGAAGCTGTGCAGAAGAGTATAAAAAGTAAGCCAACCACACACCACACACCACACACCACACAGAATATAAAGGCATGTCAGCTATTTCAACAAAATACAAAGGCCAGATTATATTTTTGTAACACTAAAACGGCAGAGTAGCAGCATTTACCTAGAGCATCAATGATGAAGGTTCAAGAAAAGACAACCCACTTAGTTTAGCCATAAAGCAAACATAAAACAGGTAAATGCAAAAACTTCGTTACCTGAAGGAAACGCTCCAACCTTGCACTTGAATGTTCAGGACCCTGACCATCATAACCATGAGGAAGCAATACAACAAGGCCAGTTTGTCGCAGCCATTTGGATTCTCCACTACTCAAAAACTGATCAAAAATAACTTGGGCACCATTTGAAAAATCTCCAAATTGAGCTTCCCAAAGAACCAATGAATTTGGATTTTCCATTGAATAACCCAACTCAAATCCAAGCACGCCAAACTCCGAAAGAGAGCTGAAAAAGGAGCAGAAACATATCAGACATATTTCTTCCCAAGATTTTATAGGAATTATGCCACCACTAACAATCGAGCACAGGAGATGAAAATATGCATAAAATGATTTCAGATTGTACAGTACTAGTTACAACCAAGCATAATGAAATGGTGATTGCCATCGAAGAAACATCACATTATTGAAAATCAACAGCCAGCCACCATAGTGTTTGAAACCCAGTAAGTCATCTTTTTTGCAGTTTAAATGTTTTACCTCTCGCATGTGACAAAACAAGCTCCAGACCTTTTTTGTGAAAAATTTTGCACTATAGATGCTTCACCTCAAGCATGAAACAACACGCTCCCGATCTTTTTTTTTTTTTTTGAAACCTCTCAGATATGTTTAACGTGTCCCAGAGGACCTAGACTTGATCAAGAATGCACTATAAATCCTTGGGTTAGGGCATTAGCCAGTCAGTTGAATGCTTCACTCCGCTCACCGAGGATGTGTACAACACTTTCAACATCTTGAAATGACTTTGTTCCTATTCTATTTCATTAAAATCCCAATCTATCAAAATAAATGAATATTTAGAATCAGGCTTGGGCTTGACGTTAGCAATGCTACATGTCAAGTTCAATTCCTATTGCTGAACTACCCAAAAGAAGTAGATGAATATTTATCACATAAACTTCTCTTAAATATTTCCCATGTTACTCTTTTTTATCCAGGAAGGACCTTTGCTGGCTGCAAAGGCTCATGTTATTTTCCCATGTTACTCTTTTTTATAAAAAGAAGCCTTCACTGGCTGCAGATTCAGGTATACTAGCAGTTTGTAACCACCCATGGATTATTTTAGTAACTGACTTCATAAATCCCAAGCAGGTTTAACAGCCAGAGAAGAACCTAAAGTGTTGTAATGCTTGCGATTATCTTCAGTCCATAAAAGTTCCTCAGTCTCTCTGTTTATCATGTGACAACTCTATGATCTTGAAAAGGCCTGAAGTAGATGGGATGGCCAGAGGAGCCCCCAAATAGATAGTGCTTGTTTCTCAAACAACCAGTTGCAATTTTTGTAAAAACCTTTTACCACATTAATTTCCTCGGAACCTTGATGAGAAGGGGCAGCCCCAAGTATGGCGACAGTAACTTTTCACAAGTCCCAGAATTACTTGAGATGAGCAACATCACTGAGCTGCCCCACCATTCCCGTCGAATGACTAGTTTTCTCTATATCAATCTTGTACACAACAACCAGTTTTCCAGTTCATACTTGGAACTGCTGACCTTTATGAACCATAAAAATTCCCTCGATAATCTCCTGGCCCTTGAAAAACCCACCAGCATTAGGGAAACAATGAATGGCTGCATACTTTCATCCTCCATGGAAAAAAAAACATCTATAATGATTTTGTACAGGCTTCTAATAAAATTTATCAGTCCCAAATGCGTATTATCTGCAGCCCCTACTAACCTTGGGAATCAAGGTAATGGATACAATTCCGATTCCCTGAATCATTAAGCCAAACTGTGCTTTTCAGCTCTACTATCACAGTATTGATCTCCTCCCAAGCCCCCATGTACGCTCTTGGCCAATAACAATCCAAGGTGTCATTGCTTCTACCTGAGCCAGCTAGTGAATGTGTTTCTTTCTTCCTAAACTATTTTAGCTATGGCGTGATCTTTTGGAAGTCAAATTTTCAATATGAAATGGAAGTATATACATGAGCCAGCTAGTGAATGGATAAAGTGTGTTTCTTTCTTCCCATACTTTTAGCCATGGGGTGCTTTTCTAGAAGTCAAAATTTCAAATTGAAATCAAAGCATATAACAGGTTGTGCTCAAGGACCAAATACAATCTGAGAAATCAAAAAAGGGGGACGGGATTCAACAAGAGGAACATACTCTTCCACCCTGCCAAACTCCTTATCCCAGCTCAATAATTGGCTACCACAAGAGCCTTTTAGGCACAATCACACATAAAGACAACCCAAAGTAAGATGGCAGGATTTTCAACCTGATCACCCATCACTCTAGTCACAACTTTTATCTACAAAACATCCATCTAGCACCCATCATTTTTTGGTTTATACAAATGAAATTGTTGCCCCTAAACTTTCTCAAAGTACTTGAGAATAAACATAAAGGCAAGGGCATGTGTTAAAGTTGATCCACTGAGGATTACTGTGTCTCTGACTGTGGGCAAAAAGTATTCACTATAGGCAAGAACAAACAAGCACCAAGGCCAGATGGGCTTGCGTATGGCAATCTTTTGGGGCTTTCAGAACCTCCTAGAAATGATCTCATAAAGCTATTTGAAGAATTTTTCATGAAGAGCCTGAACTACATCATCATCACCCTTCTTCCTAAGATGGAAGGGGCAGAGGATGTCAAGGGGCTGAGACAATACAGATCCTTGCCAAACAGCATTGCAAATCTTTTATTGGGTATCTGTCCAACAAGGAGCCTTCATGAGGCAGCAAAATCTGAAAGGAGCATCAGTTACAAACAAATGCATTGACTCAACACCAGAAGATAAATCAGGCTTGCTTGTCATGTTGTGCTCAAAAAAAACTGAAAAACTACAGGATCATCGAGATTGGGGATTCCAAGACCATCTAACAAGGCAGATTGGCTTTGGCAGCAGCAGCAGAGGACATATATCATCGTGTGCATATGTATCTACTATGTCCTTCATCATGATCAACAATTCACCTTATTGGCACTTCAGAAGTACTAGGAAATTAAGGCAAAGAATGTTTCACTCAAATCAATGAAGTGTTCCGCATACTTATAGATAATGCAGCAAGATAGAAGTCAATGGAAGCATTTAGAACTCGTAGTTCCTGAGATTATAATGATATAATCCATCTATCTTTGCAAGGAAGACCAATCCACTTTATTTCATCATTTTCACACACCCAAGTCTTATTCCACTAGGTGTCATGAATAGTTGGGTGGCAGCACTGAGAACTTTAGGTGGAAGATGAATCAAGGTCAGACAGAGCAGGAGGTCTAGGATCAAGGCACCATATAGGAAATGGTGAATAGAGGTTCTATGTGGATCAAGCAATATGCTCTAAACAGTGGTGAAGGGGGGGGCCATGAATATTTCTAGGTTTTCACTGTGTTGACCAGTATATTCATGATGACACCATGAGTAAGATACAAAGCCCTGACTACAAATCATTTTCAGTATTGTGGGCGCCAACTGCTCAACTTTGATCCTTTTGCTGAAGGGAGAAGAAGAGTGAGGATCACCGCATGCTACATTTCACATTTTGCCAGGTTCATTCGGACAAACAAGAAAGTTAAGCTCTACTACTTCAATGACTGCTATAAGAAAATTCACAAACAAGAGGTAAGAAGAATCTAGATTTTACATAAGAACCACAGTACAATAATCAGAAGTATGGTGGAATTGTGCACAGTAACACTTATTTGATAAAGTGCCATGACAATACCAAGGTCAACTTGCTAAATAATGTTCTTTCTCTTCGTTTTAATCAATAGACACACATTGATTATCCATCACAATCTTCAAATCTCAGCCGAGTCCATCTCAGATTCAGCAAGTTTAAAACATTGTTTCATCATCATTATAGCTTTTTTTCGAATTAATTTGGATCGTCTACACGAATCCCGGTCCGCCATTCTACTCTGTTAAAGGCCATACCCTCAATGAGGCCAAAAGTTCCCATATCTTTTCGGACTACTTCTAACCACATCCTTTTGGGCCTACCCCTTGCCCTTTTCATTCCTTCACTTAAACTAACTCGCACCTCCTAACAGGTGTTGTACTCGGTTGGTGCCACACATGGTCAGCTCACCTAAGTCTACTCTCTCTCATTTTATAGCCAATTGGTGGCACACTTAAATTTTCTCGAATGGCTTCATTTCAAATTCTATCTCTTCTTGTCTTACCACTCATCCATCTCAACATCCTCATCTCCGCAACACTCATTCTATGGGTAATATTGTTTTTTGTCTACCCAACATTCCGCCCCAAACGGCGAAGCTCGTCTCACAGCTGTCCTATTAAACTTGCCCTTCAGCTTTTTTGGTATGCGACAATCACATAAAATTCTAGTTGCACATCTCCACTTCGCCCACCCAACTCTAATTCTGTGTGCGATATCTTCTTCAATCCCTCAATTTTCCTGGACTATCAACCCAAGATATCGAAAGTGCAGTCTTTTTTGTACTTCCTGGCCATCAATCTTAACTACTTCCTCGTCTCTACTCCTATTATTAGGAAACTTGCATTCCATGTACTAAACTTGCTTCAAATAACTAAATTGAACCCAAACGTATATCAAGTCATCAAGCTCGACACTTGACAACTAGCTGGATACCGGCTTCTATATTTCAATAGCTATTCTATCATTCATCAGTAGTAAACAAAAAAATAAGCATGCTATTAATCAGAAACCACCACAGTTCCCTATTTTTCACCTGCACAAATGCAATCACACATCTATCGCCTGCAGTAATAGAGAGCCTCGATATATTGAGGATGTAAACAGCAATGGCAAAAACTTTATACCACATATTTAAGCCTCATCGCTAGCTCCATTCAATAATACAATGAGAGAGTATCTTGGTTCAAAATTCTTTTTTTTTTTTTTTTTGGTTAAATATACTCATCCAGTGAGAAAATGCGAGTTTTGCTCCCCTAGGAACATAGTACACACACGAACAAATATTGGTATTCAAAAAATACCACAATCTCATATTGGTGGTATTCCTAAAAACCACTTTAGTTCAGATGGAGGAGTAAAATTGGTGTTAAAGCAAATGGTATTTCAAACCCTTGGCTGCGGAGACTCTGCAGTTGCAGTTATGAAGCAGACAAGTGAAACTAAGCCTTAGCATCCCTTTTGCTGAATAGGAATGAAATAACTCAATGAAGGAAGCAAACACTGCTACTGTTCCTAATAATGAACAGATCAACAATAACCAAAGAAACCGGATGTGTAAGATGAGCAGGACTGCAATTTAAATTTTAAAAAGAAAGGGACAATATCCAACAAAATGCAAACAGAACTTGTGATTGTCACATCATCAAAGAATGGAGATGTCCAACATAAATCAAGTTCGGAGTTCTTTCCACATTTATAAAATGATAATTCTAGACTAGTAGAAACTTTCTATCTTGTCAATCTTTTTATTGGTTTTCTGTCTTGTAATAAACTTGCTAATCTTATCCTGACTGATTGAATTTATCATTCAAATAAAGCCATCTGAAGCTTTCTAATCAGCTTGCTGTTGATCACTTTCTGCATGCACACAAACCATTTGGCATGAGAGATAAAACATTAGTCAGGAGCTTTTTATTTAAGGACAGGTTCATGAACATGTAAATGTATACTACAGCCTTTCATGTACTTTCTCATCACATATGCATTTTACAGTATCAAGTCTATGAGACTCCAAATAATAATGAATTGCCATCAAAGTTGAGTACTAAAATCAACCTTTTCGTAAACACCGCCTTATTTATTTCAAAACCAGTTCCAATATGCAAAATCGCAAATACTAGCATTTTAAGAATGCTAATAAAGCTGCTGAAACTGATTAAGGTAACATTTTCCCTTATTGTCACCCACCATGAAGTCCCATTTGTATTTTTATCTTTTCTTTGGTAGGTAACCCTGGAATTCTAATTTGAAACCATGCAGTTAACCCTGGAATTCTACTAGGATATGGTTAGTAAATGAAGAGATCTTACAGGGTGATATTCATTTGGAACCCAGCACCATCACTCTACATTACAAACAAATGTCCTCAAAGGCCATATTCTCATCAAGATGCCAAACATGGTAGCAATATTGTTGGCTTCCCCCTAGACTCTAGAGTTCCAAAACAAGTTTTCTTTAATTGACAATTCAAGTCACCCTGATGACTAGTGTACTCAGCAATGACTCAACAAATTTGGGAACATAAAACTTGGGGTATTTAAAATTATCACAGAAGAACTATCATCATGAATAAATAAACATGAAAAAGGAAAATAGTTCCAAAATCTCATACAAGCAATTTCAATATTGATATTTCTGGATCACTAAAAAAGTGCCATGGCAGTACCGAGGTCAACTTGCTAAACAATGCTCTCTCTCTTCGTTTTAATCAATAGACACACATTGATTATCCATCACAATCTTCAAATCTCAGCCGAGTCCGTCTCACATTCAGCAAGATTAGAACATTGCTTCAAATAACTAAATTAATGCTCACTTGAATCCAAACTTATATTAAGTCATCAAGCTCAACACTTAACAATTAGCTGGATACCGGCTTCTATATTTCAATAGCTATTCTATCATTCATCAGTAATTGACAAAAAAATAAGCATGATATTAATCAGAAACCAACACAGTTCCCTATTTTTCAACTGCACAAATGCAATCACACATCTATCGACCGCATTAATAGAGAGCCTCGATATATTGAGGCTGTAGACAGAAATGGCAGAAACTTTATACCACATATTTATGCCTCATCGCTAGCTCCATACAATAATACCACTCAGTTTTTTTTTTATTCGTTAATAATGCTATAATAGCACCACACTTGACAGCACCAAAGAATACAATTATTACATATTCTAACGCACTCAATCAAATTAATGATCAATGGATAAACATTAACTAATGACATGAGATTCTAGGTGGAACACCATATCTGCGGGATGCTCTGACTCTAGTACCATGTTTGGGCCTTCATGAATTAGAAGATTGAAAAAAAAAGAAAAAAGCTTTACATTGAATAAAAGACATTAGTATAGTAACAGACTCTCAGTTTGAATGACAGGTGAAATGCCCATGACACCTAAACTAAAACATTGAATATGAACCACAACCCTTTGTGTATGCATTTCAGAAGCTGGGAAAATGGAAATTGCATAAAACACATTTAGAAATCAACTCTAGATGATGGAATGTTCAACTCCACAAGAGCTAGCATAAAGAAGGAACAACCTCAATCACAATGCCCTAACTACAGTCACTCTCCTTCAAAAGGAAACAAAATTTATCGCCCTGCAACCTCTGATAGGTTTCAATGTCTAGCAAATTTCCTTCTCAAGAATAATTAAGATAGCTCACCAACCCAAAGCTAATAATGATAAGTACAATTCAATTATTCCCAATTCCTTTTCTGGATGAGTTGCTCGAGGGAAAACACCAAGGTCAACTAAAACTGGGTAAGAATCTCTCTGGTGGTACAATCCAACATTACAACCTCAACAGTCACAAATATAGCTTCAAGAGACCAATTTCCCACAAGCAGTAGACTTCCTTATAAAGTGCCATCTGTATTTTAATGATTGCAGGAAAAAAAATTGCTAGTTGATCTCCGAGGATATAATTACTAACTACACAATTTACAGTTTATGTGGAAGGATTACACTCCTCAGGTTATAGGATTATAGTAAACTCATCTATTTAATAGAACTTTTGAAGTTTTTCTTTGGTGAAACAACTTGTCAGAAATTCTGAGTCTAAAAAATTATGGAAAACCAATAGATGAAAAAAAATTTACCCATGAGAAATTCAGAAAAACCAAAATCATTCACAAAACCAAATAAAATAAAATCACCTGTTGCTGACAGTAAACATCTCCTCATTTTGGTTGAGGATGAGATGGTCCAAAGGACAGTACTTTTCCCCAGTCTCCTGATCATGAATAACTGAATGCCGATGGCTAAAAGTGCCTCTTTCAACATCCTGACCACTCAACCTGACATGATTCCCTTCCACTATAAGAGTTGCAAAAGCAAGTGCTTCTCCAACTGCCCAGTCAATTCCTTCTCCAGTCTCGATCATCTGACCGCGTAGTTCAAAAATTTTCTTGACTGCTCTATGAGGCTTAAAATTCTCTGGAAGTGTAGTAATTGCTTTGCCAACAGTTTTCAATATTTCTGGCTTCACCCTAGAAACGTTACAGGGTATTTCATGAACAGTATTTCATGACGACCGTATCTAATAAAAATAGCAGGGTGGCACTAATAGATATAAACCACCATCACAAAAAGAAAACAACTATTGTTAAAATAAAGAAACTATTGTTAATATAAAGAAAATTGAAGAGAGCTCATATCGTCATACCCTGTATTACGGATCCGTGAAATTTGTTCAGGTGATTTAAATCCAGACCAATAGGCAGCAAGCCAATCTCTCTTCCTCGGTACATCGTCTTTGCTGTTTACAAATTCTTCGTTTAGAATTGTGCTGACCTTATTATTTATTCTATCAATATTTTCTTTTGATATCTGCCCCGATTTTATCAATTGGTCTTGATAAATGTCTAGGGCCCGTGGATGATTTCTAATGACCTGTTGATGCCCAAATTCAAAATTAGCAAAACAAAGAAGGGTGAAAAGAAGTACAAGCAACAATCATGCAAACCATGACCTAATTGATATGCCCAGAAATCAAAGTTTGCGGGTGAGAAAATAATGAACTGAACCAAACACACACGCAGATGCACATGCGCACATCGACTCACATGCACACACACAAGCATACACATATCTAAGCCTGCGCAAGAACAAAAGCACAAGCATACACGTGCTCAAGAGAGTCTCGAGCACATGTGCACAAAAAGTGACACCTAAAAGCATGTACCTGTATAAATGTACATATACATAAATAAATAGATATACTTGTACAGCTGCTTAGTAATTCACACATGGACATAGATACACATACATACATGCACAGCCATAGTGTATGACAGTATGTATATGCATATACGTAAATACATCTGCACACGCAGATGCACATGCGCACATCGACTCACATGCACACACACAAGCAAACACATCTCTAAGCATGCGCAAGAACACAAGCACAAGTATACACAAGCTCGAGAGAGAGCACATGTGCACAAAAACATGACACCTAAAAGCATGTAAATGTACATATACATAAATAGATATACTTGTACAGATGCTTAGTAATTCACACATGGACATAGATACACATATATACTTGCACAGCCATAGTGTATGACAGTATGTATATGCATATACATAATTACATCTGCACACGTATATTTAGAAATCAAGCTTGGGCTTGCTTGGTAGCATCTGATGATTTTCCTACTCCGAATTCTGCTGCTGAAACACCCACAAGACAAAAACCAAAAAGAAAAACACGCGTATTTACACATATACGTGTGCACGTGAGTGTGAGGTGAATGATGGTGACTGACCATATGTATGAATTTTGTATGCTTACATATCAACGCACACATGCAGCATTCACTTCATGTAACCAATTATGGGCATAAAGAAAATATATTAGGGAGTATACAAGTTAGAAGAGCATGCACCTGATACATCTTAGGCTGAGTGAAGGATGGCTCATCAATCTCGTTATGTCCAAATCGGCGATAGCATATGATGTCAACAACTACATCAGACTGAAAAAGCTGGCGCCACTCAGCAGCAAGCTCACACACATGAACCACAGCTTCCACATCATCACCATTAACATGGAAAATAGGTGCATTCAAGGCTTTGGCCACATCAGTGCAGTATTGCGAGGACCTTCCAGACCTTGGGTCAGTGGTGAAAGCCACCTGGTTGTTCACCACAATATGGATGGTCCCACCAGTTGTGTAATTTGGAAGAGCACTAAGATGCAATGTCTCGTAAACAACACCTTGACCAGCAAAGCTCCCATCACCATGAATCAAGACACCCATATTCTTCTTCCTTTCAGTGTCATTGGAATAATATTGCTTTGCCCTAGTCTTCCCGACCACAACAGGATCAACGGCTTCCAAATGGCTAGGGTTTGCAACAAGAGAGAGATGAATCCTTTTTCCACCTCTGGTGGGCCGATCATATGAGGTACCCAAATGGTACTTCACATCACCAGTTCCTGTGTACAAGCCAACTTCTCCATCAACAGGCTTTGTTCCACCACTGAATTCACTGAAAATCTGGCGTAATGGCTTCCTGACCACATTTCCTAACACATTTAACCTTCCTCTATGTGACATGCCAATAACTATACTCTCAACCCCCAAATCTGCTGACCTATCAAACATTTCTTTCATGCCAGGGATAAGAGTCTCCGCACCTTCAAGACCAAACCTCTTTGCAGCTGTCCACTTTGTAGCCAAGAAGTTCTCAAACTGCGTGCTCCAAATAAGCCTATCAAGAATAACCTCACGACGCTCTTGGCTGTACTTCATAGGCTCAACTGTCTCGATCTTATCTCTCAACCAATTGCATTTATCCCTGTCGGCTATATGCATATACTCGAAACCAATGTACCCACAATAAGCCTGCTCTAGCCGGTTTAATATTGATCTAAGGGTTTGAACAGGCCGATTCTCAGACAAGAAACCAGCCATTCTCCAAACTCCAAGAAAAAATTCCCTATCTAGATCAGCTTCAGTAAACCCATAAAGCCCAGGGTCCAAATCAGCAGGTATTTCCCTCTCCTCTAAACCAAGTGGGTCAAGCTTGGCCTTCATATGCCCATTCACTTGATAGGCTCTAACTAGCAACAGGAGCCTCATGCTTTCTTGAATGGTTTGCCCGGATATCCCGGGAGAAGTAGCAGCTTGCCCAACAAAATTTCTAAAAAAATTGTCCCATGATTCATCGACACTCTCTGGATCAGCCTCCCAAGCCCTCTGCAATTCCTCTAAGTAGACACTACTAGTTCCATCAAGAAAGCTATCAGTAAGTTTAGAGAGAGGAACTGGGCGGGGAACAGGTGCTGCTTGGGCTTGGGACCTCCTTACAGTAGAATGAAAAGGTCGAGCATATGGGACAGTCCATGAAGGCCGAGTTGTGTAAGAAGCCTGAATAAGATTTCTCCTGAGAGTGGCCTTGGCCACTCCTGATGCTAATCTAAACCATGCCATGTTTTTATTTCCAAAGCCCAAATCCCTGAATTGGGTAGAGCCTAATAGAATGGATTACTGCACCATTTGTTTCACCCCCATTTTCTGCAAGCATAGATGACATCAATTATTAACCACATCAACTATTAACGTTAACAGGAAAAACAATTTTTTCCTTCTTTTTCCGCTCAATCCATTTCTAATTCAGAATAACAGCTCTTCTCAACAGAAACCACTGATATTTCATTGTAAAAAATTATTTTTCCTTATTTTCAGTTAAATCTTTATCTGATTCCTTGGTAGTTGCAAATGTTAAACAGATATTCAACAAAAACGCACAAAAATTAAAACAAAAAATAGAAAATGGACCGACATAATATGCAATCAAAATTTCATCTCATCTAATTTCTGAATTATTGTAAAGCTTTTGGATCATTCAATGCGCAAATTCCAAACTTGAAAAAAAAAAAAAAAAAAAAATTAACAAAACAGTAACATCAATATTTGTCCAGTACGAAGGTAGAAGAAAAACTAAATCACGTCATGCAAAGCTCAAGAAATAATCATCACAAAAAAAAATCCCCAATATAAAATAATCATCACAAAAAAAAATCCCCAATATAAAAGCCACATCTAACCAAGCCAAAGTATCAACAACCTCAGCACAAAATATATTTCAGATTTACCGCCATTCCGAGCTCAACAGTAACACAACAAAATAATACTATCAAAAATTACTAAAATAAAATAAAATCAGAGAAAAATCCCATTAAAACCAAAAAAAAGATATAATACCAGAAATTCAAAACCTCAAAGTGCTATAGTTAAAAAACACAGAGAAAAAAAAAAGATAATTGGGAACTCATAACGAATTAATGTTCAAATTACAAAATGAACGCTGGGAATTCGACAGATTCCGATATCTCAAACGCCGGAATTTACAAAAAAAAGATCTCTTTCTTCTTCGTCACTGTCTACTACCGCTATGATTCCCTTACTCCACCTTCTTTTGTTTCCAAGATTTTTTTCCGCCCAAAACCAGAAGGCAAAAGACTTCTTCCATTTAATTTAAAATCACATAGAAAAACCCCAATCTTCTTTTCAAATGACAAGTACATTCAGATTGGGCTGTTGTGTCTGAAACTCTGATATCCATTTTAATGAATGCGATCATATGGCACATGGCTCATCACCATCCAATCAATTGTTGCATGGTCGAGGAGAGAGGTTGGGAGCTACAATTCACAATCCATCACCGTCTAAATGTTTGTTGGACAGTTGTGACAAGGCGAATTGGAATCTACTTCAATGTATTTGCAAGGGTCATGCATCATGGAGTCGGTGTAGTCTCAACAAATACACATTGAAGTAGATTGCTTCAATTTTTCCCATGTGCAAGCTTTAGAAACTAACAAAAAAAACCAGCAAGAAACGTAAAAAAATCAATAAATTTATGGAGAACAAATCGCTTATATACAACAACAAGCTCCACTACAAGGGCCTGTTTGATAACTGGAAGCAAGTTCATGAACTGTAAATTAGAAGTTCCTCCTTGCTGAGAAGATAGAAGTTACTGTAAGAAGTTCCTGGTTTCTATGTTTGATAACATGCTGGAAGATTAGCAAGTGATAGTGAAAATTGCAAAATGTAGAGCACAGGTTTCCCATAACAATCATTCGAGCCCTAAAATGACAATAGAGAGTAAATGAAAACTCACTAAAAATTAAAAACAAGTACTTCAATAAATCTCACGCCATGAACTATCCAATCCTTCAGTTGTCAATAGCAAATCAAATACACCAAATTTTGGCAAAAAAACAACCTAGAGCAAAACAAATGATATAGATTGTGATGAACAGAATCACTTATACCCATCTAGAAAGAAAGAAATAAGACAGATCTTGGACACATTCAAATTGCAACTTTGACCCATCTAGCAAGAAAGAAAAAAGACAGATCTTGGACATCCACTCATCAACAATCTGAAGAAAAAAAAGGACTAATTTTTTGTCCAAATGACTACATTTTCATGTTGAGAAGGCCTTCACAATAAAAGAAAAATCCAAATCAGATTGTGGTGATCGTTAATGTCCATGGATGCAGTAATTAGAAAGAATCCATTCACACAATTAAAAAACTGCATGTTTGGTGCATCTAGCAATAGATTGAAAAGCAAGACTGCTTAGGCATCCATTCAAATATCCAAGGAAAGACTAACAACTTCATCTAAAAATCAACATTTTCATAAGAAAACAATCTCATAGACATCCATTCATAAAATATCTGAAAAACAAATGTCTGAAAAGAGCAAGACGTCTCAGGCATCTATTCATCATTAAGAAGGTGTTCTCGTAGACAGCAGTAAAAAAAACCCAATTCAGTTGGGCGAGGAGGAGAATACAGTCTGCAGGGTAAGTAAATTTCCTTTGGAACCCTAAAATGTTAATAAAAAAGAAAAACCACATTTCATTTACAAATTCTTCTTGAAATTTAATATGTTGGTACTCAAAAGAAAAAAAAAACAGAAATATGTGAAGAAAATGCATTATTTTTTACTAACAATCCCCTGTCCTTACAATCCTAGAAGTTCAAGACTCATTCATAGCATTAAAACTCTAATAACTCTCAAACTGGTACTCTATTTTCAGAACTCAACAAAAAAAAAAAGTAAAAGAAAACAAAAGAGATAGAGATAATGAAAAGAAAAATCAGAAAATGCAATATACATCATTAATTTAATCTTTGAAACCCTACAAGATGAAGGACACTCCAAAACCAATGATTCTAATAATTTTCAACATTCTGGTTTTATTTTCCAAGAAAGAAGCACTAAAATGCCCAATAAAAGAAAACCAGAAAACTATTCTACCATATCCCTAAACATAACTTTAAAATCAGAAGCTGCATCTTTTCTCCATTAATGATTTAATCTTTGAAACCCTGCAAGATAAAGCACACCCAAAACTAATGATTCTAATAATTTTCAACGTTTTATCGTCCACAAAAGAACCCCTAAAATGCCCAATAATGAAATTTCTGGTTATAGCAGAAATTTTTAGGGGAAAGAGAAAGGTACCTGATGAAGAGTTAGAGAGAGAGAGGAAGAGGGAGGGAGAGAGAGGAAGAGGGGTTAGAGAGAGAAGTACCTGATGAGGAGGAGCAGTTGCCGAAGAGGCGGAGGTAGTAGCGTTGAGAAGCAGTCGTGGAGGAGGTATTGTAAAGGCTGAGTGGTATTGTAAACTTTTCCCTTTGAAATAGGGTCCGGCTTCTATAGAGCCTAGGCTCTAAACAATCAAATCAGAGCCCACCTTCAAATGGTTAATCCAATCAGAGCCTACGTTCAAACGGTGGTTTCAGTTCTGAAAATATTTGTGTTAGCCTTAAAATATATGTTCATCTTTATTTATAAGTTTAAAAAATGATGTTGATCGATAGATATATGAAAATTAGAAAGTCTTGAAAATTGATGATCTAAAAATGCGTTATAAAATATATTATTTTTAAAACTTGAAATCTATTTTTTTCTCGTACATCTTGATGACGAGATGATCAATTTGAGTATATTTGAACAACAAAACAACCTCTTCTAATCTATTTTTTTTAGGTAGGCTCAAATTTGATTGTTTAGAGCTATAGAAACTTTTCCCTTTGAAATAAGTTGTGGGCCGTTCTATTTCGTAGAAAATATCTTAAAGAATGGTGGACTTTTCCTGGTTCCACTCCTTATTAAATATTTGATTGAGAGTACAAATCTAAAACGCATTTCACTAACTCTCATTATTAAATGAGTCAATGTCGTATTTCTTGACAACAAGCCATTTTTCAAAGGGTAAACTATATTGGGAGACTATTTATCTTTTGCAATAAGGTGGTCACTCTCATTATCAAATGATGTATTTCTTGACAACTAGCCATTTTTTAAAGGGAAAGTATATTAGGAGATTATTTATCTTTTTTATAAGATGATCACAATTAATTTTAACTATTGGATGTAAAATTGGGTGGCTGCATGTATTTCATTGATCAGCTCAAAGTTTAAAAGAAATTTTCTCACACCTAAGCCATCGAATTTCACGTTGTAAATAATTGTGACCATTTTGTACCAAAGGTAAATAACCTTATTTTATACAATCTTTTTTCCAAAACCCTAGTAAAAGAGGAGGAGGATGGCGGTTTCCAAGATACTAGCATTTGACTATATGATCTAAGGAAAATTTTTTTTCGTGCTTAAGAAATTATCTAAGGACCCGGCTTTTGTGCGGCATGCCCGATGTGGGAGTATTAATAAATCTATTTTTGAGATGGATTTTTTGACTTAATTTTTAAGGACATGTAATATCTAATATAGAGATCATGAATATGAATAAATAAATAAATTTTAAAAACTAGAAATAATAATTAGTAAAAAACATTTGGACCGTATTTAAGACATAATAAGTTTCAATTGTTTTTAAATGGAACACTAAAGATGGATGCTTTATACTTTTTGGACCGCAGTCATGCGGTCCAACCTGCATGAGACAATTTTCCATCATCTAATGCATTTATAGATAGCATAGTATATAAGAATAATTTTAGAAATTTTTGTTATTAATTCAGGAATTTTAGCTAAGTTTATTTGATGCAAAATATGTTTAATAGGAAATGTGTAATATGAGACCAAAATTAATAATAAAAGGCACGATGGGTTAAACTATATGATTCATGATGATCAGAAAGATTTTTGCCTCTAAGTACTCTCTCTCTCTCTC